TTTCCCCCGGGCGGCGGCGGTTGGGGGTGTCCCCCCCCGGGGGGGGGGGGGGGTGAGGAAGCCACCAGGACATCCCCGAGGGAGCTAGACGCTGCCCTGGGGACTGGTGGGAGCTGGGTGGGAACAGGCAGGGAACGGAGGAGGCAGCAAGGGGGAGCGAAGCAGGCCCTTCCCCGCAGGAGCTGCCCTGCTCGGTGCCGTCGCCGCTCCCATTCCCACTGTGGCACGGCGCGACCCCTCCAGAGCCTTAACTGCAGCTCTGCATTTCCTGCCTTTATCGTTTGTATCTGGGGGAGAGTTTCAACAGCCTTGGAATGTCCCTCGGCTTTAAATTACCCGTTCGTAATCTCATCTCGCTGCCATTCTCGCTTCCTGCCTTGGATCAACAGAGGCTGAATTCCTCTTAAGTGCAAAATTCAACTCAAATTTAACTCTGAACTTCCCAGCTGGTACCACCTCAGTTAAAATCCCAGAGGCACGCCTGGCTCTGAGAGGGACAGCAAAGCCTGCACTTTCCACAGTGGGAAGTCAAGGTCCATAGTGAATATTTTTAGCTGCCTTGGGGAGGAAAGCTGGAAGTTACGTGGGTCCCCACACTCTGGGTGCTGTGGAAGCACACGCGTGTAGCTCCCCGGTGTGTGGATGCCCTGAACACCCAGTCTTCCCACCCCGGCGGTGCAGCAACCACTGGCAAGGCTGGGATGAGGCCTGGAGCCGGCCCGGGGTGGGGGCACAGGCGCTTGCTCATCTCTTCCTGTGGGGCACAGCACAAGAGGAGGGCACTTGCAGGGGCTAAAGCAATCTTGGGAGCAAGGGGAATAAACAGGGAAGTATGGGAGCTTCACCAAATGCCTGGCAGAGGGGTCCAGGGCAGTTATTAGCCACAGCCCCTTTTCCCCTTTGCCTCGGGCCAGTACCTCGGCTGCTTTTTAACGTGTTTCTCGCTGTTGTTACAGGCTTGAAAAAAACCTCACACAAGTTTGGATTCCTCCAAGACTTTCCCACAGCCTCTATCACACATCTGCTCTCCTAGAAGAAAATGAAAAGCATACCTAGTAATAATATTTTCCTCTTTTACACTGTATATTTGTAAGAAAGTTAAGAGTGTGTTACTTCTGAAAGCATGGTTTCACAGGCATTGCTGTAGTGTTTGAAGAGTATTTTCAAACAGAAACCATAGGAAAGCAGACTACAAAAGCAAAACGAGAGCAAGTATTTTTGTACCAAACCTTTTAAATAGGACAATCTTACACTGGGTTGGACCACGGTTTTTGTGCTTGACTTTTGAATGCGTGTAATTAAGAGTCTCTATTCTCCTCCGTCCCACCCCGCCAGCTGCATGTCAAAGGCATGATTTTAACCTGTGTGCAAATCTAAAGATGCGTGATTCAAGTTTGTAGGAACTGTGCTCCCCCTGGCACACAGCCCGCCAGGCATCAGCGTGCTCTGGCTGTGTCAGCAACACATGTGTACACTTACAGTATTACAGTTTTATTCCCAGTTGTACCAAATGACACCAGGCAGGACAATCAGAAACTTTCTTATGGTGATTTTTTACCCTAGGGCTATGTTAATAGCTTGCTGTGCAAAGCTTCGGCATGGTACAACGCTCGGATCAGGGATGGGCAGAGAAAGCCCACACATGTAGCAAGGTGAGAATTTGCCTCCTTCTCCTGCCATGACTGCTTGAGGTCGTTATTGGCAACATAAACTGCTGTATGAGAAAACCAAACCCACGGTTCACCAGCTTACTCAAGGTTGGGCTGAAGTCCTGTGCAGTCCTTGAGGGACTTAAGACACGTGCCTGCCATTATGCCAAAGTGCTCTGCTGAGCTGGGGTTTAAGAGTGAAGGTTGTGCCAGTCCGGCTGCTTGCTATGTAGCATTTCCGTGTTTCCACGTGTGAGCAAAGACAAGAAGGGGGGCCTGCTAACACCACTGCAGGAATATTTGTAACGTTTACAGAGACCGCGTACCAGCAAGGAGACTGTTTCAAGCAGTACAGTCCCTTATCCTTCTTGTTCCAGGAGGTATTTTGAGTAATAATAATAAAAAACCCAAAGTGACTTCAGTTTCTTGCAAAAGGAGGTGCAAAACTCTGCTCCTTTAATTGCCGTTTATCCAACCCCTTCCCTGCAAGGAGATTGGTGCTGCAGGGTACACTGAGCTTAGCTGCTGCCAAATGGTGGAAGTGGATGCCCAAGTTTCACCACAGTTGGTTTCACAGCTGTACAGAAGACACAGGGTGTCCCTGGTTTTGTTAAATGTTATAAGCTTCTTTTTTTCTCTTTCCTTTTATTTTGTGGGTGGGCCAAAATACAACCACTGAGAATTTCAGCTTCCACAGCCTTGGTGGGGGAATGAGATGGTGAAAGGGAAACTGTCTCATTTGGGTTTTCTCTAAAAAGTGGAATTGATATAGGTGTTTTGAGAGCAAATCAATCCCAAGACAAATGATCAAGCGGATCTAAAAAGGAATGATACCAGCATTTCTAAGCAACGGACTAACTCTTTTAGCAAACTATTTCCTGTATTTTGTTTTGTGGAGAAGAGAGGAAAGAAGCTTCCACATTGTCTACTCCGCTTTTGGAAATATGTTTAAAGGTACTTTTCTATTGTAATTTTTTAAAAAATAAAACCAGTGATTATTATAACTTATGCCCAGAGTGCCATGTGCTGTGTATCTGGTTAGGAACAGAGCAGCAGGTCCTGGTTAAGCCCTGCAGTGTGCTAGTCCTGTTAAGGCACAGGGCCCTGCTCTCTGGAAAGGAATACAGACACCTAAACAGCACCCAAAACAGTTTAACCAGAGTCTTTGTTTCTAATGAGCCATCATCCATTGTCAAAAAAACAGCCCAAGATGATGTCAGGTCAGTTCTCAGGGCAGGGAGGAACAGTTCAGATTTTATTAGCCTTGAAAAAAAGGAAGATGAACGCAGCACTGATGGCAAGTGCAGAGACGGAGTGTCACACAGCTAGCTAGCTGGCTGGCTGGCTGGCTGGCTGGGGATCATAACCCCACAGAGGGGAGATGAGGATCCCAAATACCCTACTGGGCCCTAGGCACCGGAGAATAGCACCCCAGCACCCTCTTTTCTTCCTCAAGAGGGGGGCAAAGACAACACTTCTAAGAGATGTAGCAATTTTTCAGGGCAGATACTGTCCACTTGGATTGCTTAGATCTTAAGGAAAGTTCCAAAATCCAGGCTGGAAGAGATCAGCAGGCTTTAAAGAAATGACTCCAAGTGTATAAAGATGTTATCAGTTAGTTTTTAAACCTACTAATCTTGGCACCGAGCACAGAAGCTAAGCTGCTATTTTCCATGAGCTCAGCCATAGAAGGGGCAAACGTAACATAGAGACGAAGGGCTAGACTTTGTTTTTTAAACATGCTGAGAATTTTTCAAAAAGTTGTCTGCAAGTCTGAGCTTATAAATCCCCCCTCCCCCCCAATAAATGTAACCAACCTCTCCAGCAGCCTCAGCTAACAGGCTGGACTCCTAAAACAAAGTACCAGTAGCAAGCTTCAGCTTAGCAAAAGCAGCCTTGAGAATCACATTTAAATGACATTAAAGCATGCTGCAAGCTTTTCAGGATGGAAGAAAAAGGCATGCTGTTATTTGAAACCCCTGGCTGTCAGGGACAAGCTGCAGAGTTAAGCCCTAAACGGAGATGCTAATCCCCGTGTGGCCACTGCAAGTCCCAGCTTTCTTTCCGAGTTGCATTGGGAGAGGAGGTTTGCTGGCAGGCCCAGGGTAGGAGGGGAAGCCAATGCATTGCTCAGCCTAACTGCTCTTCAGGGCGGCGGCGGCAGCGGCAACTGGCTGACACCACTGCCCTGAGCACTGCTGCTAGTGAAAGATGCTGACGCTCTCGAGAGCAGATTCAGTAACAAACATCCTCCAGCTAAGAAAGCCATGAAACAAGCAGCCCCCATTCATGTCCTCCTGGACTTTGCCTGGGCACAGCATCTGCACAGTCATATCTGCCCTATGAAAAGAAGCAGGGCCCTGCTGAAAATATGTAACCTCTCGAACCATTCCCCCCACCCCAAACCAAAATGTTTTCGGTTTTGTGCTGATTCCCATTACCCTCATTAGCGAGGGGCAGGAGCAGCTGGGCTGCAACCACTTAGCACAGACCCCAGCGTCCCCTTTGCCTGTGATGAACTTTCTACACAGGGGCCCCAGGAACATTCTTTTCCAGTTACCATCGGGCCACTTACAGGAAGGCCCGAGCTGTTGGCTGACACAAGTAGATTGCAAAACAGGGACAAGGACTCCCGGGCCAGTGCTGGCATCAAGTACCAGGGATAGTCCCGGGGGTACAAACAGGCAGAGCTGGAAAAACTGAGATGAGAAAAGGCATGCTCATTGTTTCCAAAGCCTTCCCCCCCACCACCACCAAAACCAAGCTCTGGGAGGATGGGAGCGGCTCCTTCCGCATCCCTAAGCGGACAGTTGCTGCCCCAAGGAGCTCGCATGCGAGGAGGAAGAAGTCGGCAAAGCAATCTCTGAGGTCACTGGCCTGCTTGCACAGGCAGCAAGCTGGAAGCGACCATGAAAGCAGGGAAAAGGCCATAGGGGACTGCAGAGAAACGCACAGCACTGGCTCCCCGAATGAGAAAGGCACAACCAAGCTGTGCGGCCCAGCCGAGCAGAGGAATCACTGCAACACGGGCAAAGGGACGAGGAGGAGCCACAGGCACGGGCAGCAGCGAGGACAGAGCACAGGGGCTGGGAGGCAGCGGCTGGCACAGGGGGATCGTGACACGGGAACGGAGACGTGGGCCGACTGGGGCAGAGAGAGCAAAGGGCAGACAGAGCTGGCGCCGAGGCATGGACACAGTACCCGCCGCCCGGATGCGGCCGGGAGGAGGGACGAGTGCGGTCCCTGCTCCTGCAGGCTCCTTGGGAGAGGGGGGAAGGAAGAACAGGGCTGGGAGAGGCAAGACAACATGGCACCAGCGTTGGGCCAAGCAGCTTCAGAGACTGAGGAGACATCCACAAAGAGGTCAGTAAAACCAGCTGAGATGCAGGGTGGGAGAGAAGCTGGCACTGTAGTGGTGAGGAGGCGGTTCTGTGAGGACCCAGCGCAGCAAGGACAGCTGAGGCCAGTAAGAGCCCCAGAGGCAGGGAGAGGACGCAGTGCTTACCATGGATTCACTCCCCACTTCTCAAGGCTTGGGGAAATCAGAAGGCGTGAACAGGGACTGCACTGCCTGAGAGCTCCCAAGCAAGATAGTCCCGTGCTCCCTGCTCAGGCGAGCATCTGCACCAGCACAAAAAGGCTGTGTGCACCCTGGAAAACGTGCTAGAGCATCAGCTGTCCTCCTAACCTTGGGAAGGAAGGCGATAAGCACACAGGGGATTGCGCAGCACACCTAAAAGCCTGAAGTTTACCCTGCAGAGTATCAGCACCCAGACCGGGGGCAGCCCTCACCAAGCCAGGCAATACCCACACAGGAGACTACCTCGGGCTGCAGCGCCCCAACTGGGGAGACTGATTCGAAACGCAGAGCTGAGCAGGATCCCCGGATCCATCCCCTGGAACTGCAGGCTCTCCGGAGAGCCAGGCTTCACCTGGCGTTTAAACGCTGCTGTTTGCCTCTCTGCCATGCTCAGGCTAGAAACAGAGCTGAAGATGGTGCTTAAAAGCAAAGCTAAGAAATACCATTAGCAGATCCTGAAATACTTCTAAAACATGGGGAAGTTGAGCATTAGCAGAGTCTGTGCTTCATCTCTGCTGTCTCCATAATTAACAGCTAGCTCACAAGGGAACAAAGAAGACAACATAACTGATGGAGATAGGAGGGAATCACACAAGTACTTCATGCTTTGGATGTAAGCCCAGAAGTACAGGTACAGTCAAAAAATTAAGCTAATGGAAGGAAAACCTCCTGCCTTAACCACCCTATTCCCCTGCTGTGCTTGCACTCTGCACAACACCCCAGCCCACAAGGCTGGTGGAGTCAAACACATGGGCCCCAACCACAGAAGCACTGACTGGTTTTCAGAGCACGAGATCAGGGAGACTGGGGCTTTGTCTAGGTGAAACCTTCAAGGACAGGGCCACTCCCTCCTGCCGTGTTTTTTTTTTTTTCCCCCTCATTACAAGGTTCTCTTCATATCCAAGCCAAACTTCCCAAACTGCCCTATTACTTCATCTGCCATCCATGAATGTGCGATCACATCATCCCCCCCAGCCACCTCCTTGCCACACCGAACTGGCTCGGGTTCACCTCCTCCTCGCTGGCCCTGGGCCCCAGCCCTGACCATCCCCGGTAGCTCCCACCAGACCCTCTCCAGTGACCCCACATCCCTTTTGAACGGGGGGCCCCAAGCCAGACACCACATCAAGGCGCAGCCTCCCCCAGGCTGAGCTACCCTCACTCTGCTGGCCACAGGCCTGTTGACATGGCCCAGGACACAGTTGCCTCGCTTGGGAAGAGTACAGACACACGCAACAGCCAGCACGATGGAGAACTCGCTTCCTTGCGGAGAGCCCTGCAGTGTCCAGACAACACCTCCCTCCTAGGGAACTGTCATTCTTTTGCATCTGCTTGAAGGGGAGATGTTCAGAGACCCTGAGCAGACTGACAAGACAGACAGGGTTAGGGATACACCCAGAGAGCCAGAACAATAGACCCAAGAAACAATACCAAAGCAGATCCTCCCTCAGCAGGAACCCTCCTTGGTTTTGTAGACTCTGTAGTGAGGATAGAGCCCCAGGCCACCTGGTCTGCTGCATTTTAACAAAACACAGGCCCAGGGCTCCTGGTTGACATGGTGCTGCCATTTGTAAGCGCCCCCAGAGACGGGCTTGGCAGTGCTGCAGCAGTGCCAGCTACCCGAGACAGCTGGGAACGCTGTGCCAAGGCCGATTCCTCTCCTGGTGACAACTCAGCGGTGGGTCTCCATTAGGCAACCATACCTCTGACTTTGTAAGCAGCAGAAAGCTCTTTGCAGGGACATACTAGAAGCCTCAGGTCTGAGCTCTCCTGATGTTTGTTAGCTGTTTGCCTTGGCAATGTTAACCAGTAAACAATAAGCACTCAACCCTACTGGACATCCTTCCCCAGATGCAGTAGCTGCCAGTGGTCCCTGAGGCAGTAACACATAAAGGAATCCAGGCCTGGTACATTAGCAGTGACCGGAAAGCAAGCAGCAGAGCTGGAAATAATGAGATGTCACTGTCATGGCTCCTTCTAGCCATCTGCAGTTTGCAATCCCCCCTCATCAGCAGGTACCAGGAGCCCAGCTCTCCCCGGTGGCCCAGCACCGCCTGCCCATGCTCATCGGAAGTGACAGCGTTCGCTGGCTCCATCCATGTGCAGGGGTCTTTACACTGTTTGTCAGGGCTCCCTTGCCTCACTCTCCTCCACTCTCTAAAAGCCTTGAATGATCATGATGAATTATAGATTAGCTCTGATACAAACCACCTTATGTCAGTTTTCTCATTCAACCATGTAAAATCCTGCTGTTTTCCATCCCCTTCCAGAATGATCACTGTAACAGAAGAGGAAGTGGAGTAACTCTTCAGTTGCAGCAACTTTTAGGGGAGAGGCCAGCAGAGCTCAACATTTACAGGTGTGACACTCCTGGGCTATTAAGTGGAGCACTTATCCCTTAAAAACCTATAGTCCTTTTATTTTGGGTGGTGAGGAACAGATGAAATAAAAGGCCTGAGTCAAACACATACATGTAACAAACAGCAAGCCCTGCCTAGGACAGAGTAACCGCCATCACTTACCTAATCAGCTCCTCCTGAAGAGGCCACACAGCCCCTGCTGCTGAAGATAGCTGTGCTGACACTGTTAACCGCTGCCCTATAAGGTTACGTTTCCTGAAGCAAATCCAGGCAACGAGAACAGCAATGCCTGCCTGGGTAAAGAGGAAGGGCTATCAGTGCTACTGCTCAGCTTACCCCACAGGCTCCCTCCTCCCAGTTTCATCACCGAGGAATTTGAACACCTCCTTCCATCCAAACAGGACGGATAACTAGTGTAATTTCAAAGGGAAAATACGCTCATCAGTGCACGTCTTGCTGCTTGCAGAGCTATTAGGAGGTGTGTTCCCTCGGGAATAAGTCCAGCCACTGCTGCAGATGCATAGTTCACATGTCTGTCCTGGTGCAGGTACATATGCAGCAAGCACCCAAACTGTAGCCCTGTCTGTGCGTACCTATGGATTTGACTCACGTTTCTTCTGACTCCCTTCTGTTCCAAACTGTCCACACAGATGGCAAAATACCTCCTTCCTTCAGCTTCCTCTCAGCCACAGGCTCCAGCTACAATCGTGCAAGCGAGAGGATGGTGTACTCAGGAGCTCTCTGAGGTACGTGGTTGCTGTCACAGGAAAAAACTTTCTCCTTTTCCCCAAGGTCCTGTCCACAGGCCCATAACCGTCACGGAGGGTGGAGCTGAGCGCCTCCCCGCTCCTGGCTAATCTGGACAAGATAAGGCTGCAGCTCAGCCAGGAACCTGCATGGAAAAGCTGTTCAGCAAACACACGATGTGCTCTGGGTCCTGTTGCAGCGTGCCCTGTCCGTAGCGGAGGCCTCCTCCTCCCTTTGGGCACAGGTAGCTCAGGCAGCCCACTGCCACTTACAAAGTGCTCGTATGGAGCTCGCTAAGCCTTTGGCGCTCTTGGCAGGCAACACACACAGTGCGGATGCTGAGTGGCAGGCTCTGTCCTGTGCAAGTTGGAGGACAGAGCCCATCTGACATCTCGCGTGTACCTCAGCTCTGCAAGAGGTGCAAAAAACCACTGGCATGTTTAGCTTAGATGAAAGTCAACCATGATTTTGGATGAACCCTAAGAGGGACAGCGTATGGCAGGGGAGGAAGACAAGGATGCCATATCAGAAGAATCAGTCATCAGTACCTGCATCCCCCTCTCCCTCCACAGGGAGGGAAAGGCTCCAATGACAGCCTTGCCAGAATCCACACACTGAATCCAGGTGCTGGGGAACAACATCCTCACTACACAGGACAAATCAGCAGCAGAGCCTCAGGAGAGCAAAAGAGGCAGGTCTCCACCTGGCACGGGACTGCATAGTGATGGGGTTGGCCAAAGAGCCTTCCTGAAACACAAGAGATGAAGGGAAATGCCACCTTTATCAAGGGTAGCCCGAGTCCCTTTATCCCCTGATTAGACACAGAACCTGCCAGGAAAGGAAGAGAAAAATGGAACAGCAGGTCCACAGCCCTCAAGAGAGGGCAAGATGCCTTTTAGCAGCCCTTTGCACTGCCAGATTGAGGGAACAAGGGTACAGCTGAAGAAAGTAAGCTGAATTCATGATGGTTCCAGGCACTGGGAAAACCATCTTCCCAAATAAAATAGAGGAGAACACCCTGGAGGAAGATGAAGTAGGTTTAAGGTTTTAACGGCTGTGAACTCTTATGCTAAACTTCAGCAAAAAGTCTGATTCAGACATTATGCTGTAAAGAGGCTGGAGTGGACTGGACTGGCACTAAAATGATTTCAGCAACCAGGCTCATGTTGATAGAGCCTGAGACATTTTCAAGTTGCACCATTTGATTTTTAAGAGGTCTTGGAAAAACCCCACAGGGACTGCTGGGAGCACCTTTGAGAAACAAAACCCAACCCCTCAAACCCACACAGAAGAAAAGGGCCCATTCTTCTTCTTTTGACTTGTTCTCTTCATGACTGCCCCTCTATATTCTTTACCACCTCTAAGGGGCCAACACAAGCCTCCTCTCAGCCATTTTCAAGCTATGCTAGCGTACCCTAAGAAGTTGTACAAGCTATTTTGCCCTCTCCACTAGTGTAGCAGAGGACAACACCTCTACCAGTGGGACAATGCATACAACCCAGCCTTTCCAACTGGTCACCAGCTGGACCAGTTTGCTCCTTAAAGCACTGGAGCCTCCACGGCACATAGAGCTGCTAGTCAAATCTTCATTTCCAACCCTTTTGTTGTTTTGACCTAACATAATTTCCATCTGCAAAAGTAGCCAGAGACGTTTTCTGTAGCCTCCTTAGTATCTTAACTGCTTCAGAAGCAGAACAAAGCAGATGGCCTACCCTACAGTCTGTCCTGCATTGCTTTGGTTTGTAGAGCAGAAAGGGTAATGCTGTGCGAGATGACTGAAAAGTTGCACCTAAAGGCATTAAAACCTTGCAAGGCATGAAAAGTAGCTCAGAGATCACTAAGAACTCTGCCTTGCTCTGAGCACAAGAACTGACCATCACCACACACACACACAAAAAAAAAAAAGGAAAGAAAATTGCTGCTCAAAAATGCATAAAGGTAGAAGGGAATCTTTGTTCTTTAGCTAAGATAATAGAAGAGTTGTGAACACTTTTCCAAGTGTGTCAGGGTGCCTTAAAGCAGAGCTGCAATGGCAAAACAGAAAGCACCAAGAGAAATAGCTTGTTCTGACAAAAGAAAAACAGTTTTATATACACACATATAGATATAAACAAATACATATAAAAAGAAACCTACTGACATTTAGCAATTCTTTAGAAAGGACTGACATGTGCAGCGTTGAAAGTATTGTTTGTCTCTCCAAAGAGCACACTATACACCAGGGGTATTGTGCAGAAGGATAAATGCTACGCTTAGGTAAGTTTATTTCTCCTCCTGCACTTCCCCAAGCAGACATAACTTGTTCAGCCCTTCGGCAACAACACCTTATTCTTCGTCAGCTCACGTGGTTCAGATCTGGTGGCCTCTGCTTCAATCCCTGACTGATATGCCAAGCAAGACAACAGCTCACACACACACACACAGAGTAGCAATCTGCTGCTGGCAAGATATCACAGTCACCTATTTTATCTTTGATCCTAACCCCAGAAGGGCAGAAAAACTGCCCCTCTCCTGCAATGCCATGAAAACAATATCAGCATTGACCTACTCTGGTTCAGTACATAAAAATAAGCTATCAAGAGAACATAATTTGGCAACGTTCCACGTTAGTCAGTCTGTGCTACATAGAACACCAGGCATCTACAGAGAGCTTTCATCTAAGGTGGTTTCCCCCTCCCCCAAACAAGAAAGATAAAAGATGACAGTGTTAGCCCAGAACAATAAGTCATTGAGAAGATAAAACACAAAGATTCTTTTACCTCCTTGAAAAGGAAAACGCAACAAGTGTGAAAGATGCTGTTTCTCTCATTCTTTGAGGAAGCGACACTGGAAACCAGTAGAAGTTTATTACTTTTAAAAACTGCTTTCGTATTGAACTGTCATTTTACATCCTTCCTGTCCATCGCGTATAACTGTGCAACACAAGTGCATCCACTGCTGTGATGAGAAATTGCCAAGGGCAATTTCTGATGCTCATTAAGAAGCTGCAGCTGCAGTGCCACCCTGCAGCTTGCTGGGAGTTCCGGAGAGGGGTATTTCCGAGTCCAGCCTCGGACATCACCAAGTTTCAGTAAAGTTTAATCCCACAGTAGGTAGGAATATGCAAACAGCGGGTGTATTTGACTCTCTGAAAGAAACTCACCCCAAGTGATTTTAGGAATAGGTTTTCCTGAAATAGGTAAAACAAATGCTGAATTCAATTCCACCAGAAAGCTCCTCTTATGTAATTTCAGGTAAATACCCATTAAGCAACGTAAAAGCAGAGTTAAGCACTGAACAGGAACTCTGACATTACATGCTGAGCACCGTTTATCACTCTAAACCAAGAGGCAAGTGGTGAGAGCCTCTTAAAGATACATTTCCCATTAGCTAATTAAATTAAACTCTAAATTTAGTAGTTCATACTTGCTCTTAAACTGACCTGTTTTATCTCGGAGGTTGCTGGGATGGGGAAAAATATCACATTACTATATACAGTCAGTCTTTCTGCGAGCAGACACTGAGCCTGAGTGGCAAAAAGCCTGTATAAAAACGCATGTTTGCTCCAGAATTCAGCTGGTCACTGTTTGCCAGGAAGGACATCAGAGTAATCCTTTAATACTCCAGCCAAGTGGTCGTTGTGAGTCTTAAATCGACGTTTCTTCTGAGAAGCGGGTTTCTTCCTCCTCTGAATAGGAGCCTGCAAGAAGAAAGTAAACAGTGCTCACAAGGTCTGCCTTCCAGCTGCGACATCCGACCTGATATGAGACGCTGCGCTAGTCATCACTGCCTCAAAGGCTGTTGCATAGGAGAACCACAGTTGGAGAGGAGGTGGGCAGGAGAGGAAGGTGGCTGATTCACAAGAAGCATCTGCATTCAATTCAAATTCAGGCAGGGGATTGAGACCGGAGACATAGCAGAGCCCCCCTATCTTGTGCACTGTAGTAAAGCTGGTGCTTAGAATCAAAGTTTCCAAACACTCCTGGCACAGATACAGAAGTAGGTACACACCCTGTAAGGTTATCCGCAATTATGTGCCCAAGGACTTTGCGTTTAACAGATAAGGAATCCACGAGAAGTGCCTACATGATGACAGGCAAAGCAGCTAACGCAGAGACTAGCAGAAACCAGGAAAAAGTCCCATGTGGAAGGACTCTGATGCAAGGGTAGTTCGAAGCCAAGTGCAGAAAAGAAAATAAATGGTTTATCACATATGGATCTATGTAAAAAATTGCTTTAAAGCCAGAAAAGGAAACATCTTTGGAGAACTCGCAGCCATTTTGGCCAGGGGAAGGGGGAACGAGGAAAGAAAACTTTCTCCCAAGGGAGTAACTGCTCTTTTGCTCCTAATGCGTTGTACAACTTTAAGCAGAAGAACTTTAAGCTGTGGAGCGTACAGGGATTTTGGGCATTTGCCCTCTTTTTGATGCTGCTTGAATTACACTGGCTCAGACAAGTTACAAAAACACTGACTGCTGGCTACAGCATCATTTTTTTTGCAACTGTTTCTTAAATTGGTCTCATTTCCCTGAGCTACACAAAGCAGCTTGGGCAAAGGCTCACCAACATTTGACACACCTCTTTCTTTCGGAATTAACACTAAGGGGTTGCAGAGGAGGAATCTCTCAGAAAGATCTGCAATTTGCAACTCTTACTATTTTCTTTGGTCCAGCTTCTTGCATGGAAGAGATACCCTGTCGTTTCAGATACTCTTCAATTTTCTCCTCATCCATAGAATCCACGGGAATGCTCCTCCACAGCTTCTGAAATTCTGAAACACCAAACAAACCCTCATTTTGTGTCCCAGTGAACAAACCGTGGGCAAAGCCCTTGCATGAAGGGAAAGAAATAAATTAGAGTTCAAACACTGAAGTATTCTGGCACATCAGTCTGTGACTGTACAGACACAGCAAACACTGCCAGCAGTCCCCAGTTAGCACAACCTTTACCCACTCCAAATGCCAGATGCACTTCCAAGGGGGGGAAAATAAACAAATAAACAAAAAACCCAATAGCTAATGGAAAAAAGATGAGCTGATCCTTATCCGTCTTGACAGTACTCCAGAGTCCAAGCAACAGGAGCACCCATAGGCAATGGGTTCTTTTAATGTTAATTTGCCACCGAGTCTATCTTTTTACCTAGCATCTTTATAGCTGCTTAGACTGTCAATGTGTTTTATAAGCCTCAGCTCAAAACCCCTCGGTGAGGGGAATAACCAACCATAAATGGCAACTTCATTTACACATCTTTGGCTGCCAGTGTCACAGGAGACTTGTCATCTCATAGTCCAATTTACTGAAGATTCAAGACGTTTATTTCAGTGTTTCTGAGCTCGTTTATCACTGTAATATAATACATACCATGCTGTACAGATAATAAATTACTAAAATTCTTCTGGTGTTAAAAAGGAGAGAGATACCCTAAAAACCACAGCACCAGGAAAAAAAGACAGAGACAGTAAGTCTTAATTAGAGCAGCTGCCATCTGCCTGAACACTTTCTGCATCATGTAAAGTTTCGCAGAGTCTCTGGAATGTCTTCTCCAGGCAGCGGCTGGTACAATTCTACCTCCCTTCATTCCCCAGGCAGTAAGTTAGATATATCCTGTCAGCAGGTTTGGCTAACAAACTATAAATAAAACACGAGGCACACATAGCAACAACGCAAGACTAAATTTTTCCCTTTATTTCCAGATAAATTTAGTACACAGTTGTCAAAACAACCGCAACTTGTGCATGCTTAAGAAGTAGTCCTATGCAGCAGGTGATGAAACACTCCAGTGACGACCTGCCAAAAATGCACCAGCTCTAGACACGCTGCAACAAAACGGTACTGTAGAAAGGCATAATTCAGAGAATTTGCTGCTGCACTTGGACAGATTCACTTCCTAAAGCATTGCGTTTTTCTGTCAAAGTACACGCTTTAAGTCCCAGATCTTTCCTTTCTTCCCATTCCCAACAGTAAGGGGCTATTCAAGCTTCCCAGGTTACAAAAGAAAGGGATTTTGCCAATGAAGAAAAGCATTTTTGGTAACGCAATGCTTTTGAAGAGAACTAAACCCTGTCAAAACACCACTTTTGGCTACATGGAGAGCCAAAAGAGAGAGAGTGCTCCATGAGAGAGTGCTCAGCCTCTCTCTCTCATGTTCAAGCTATACAGCACAGTGGGATCGCAGACTGCAGCTTCCAGGTAACTTAATGCAAGGCTTGACACTGTGGTCAAGACATTCTCCATCTGCTCATCCATTTTGGGTGCAGTTCCAGGCTTCTGGCGTAGCTGGTGGTACCTGCTATTAGAGATCATCTCTCATCTAATCCTGTCGCAGCAGGTGGAGAGGGCCGTGTTGTGATCAAAGCTAAACATGCAAGAGACTGATTTCTCAACAACGAGTGCTCAGATGCAAGTTTACACAGCAGAAGACAGAGTGAGGGGCCTACTGCATCTTTTGGACTGAGCACAACACGCTCTTTCAGGCTATCACCTTTCCGTTCAGGCTCCCTGTCCTGAACACCTGAGTCCCCTCAACTGCACGCCAAGACCTGGTGGTGTTTGCAAAGCACAATCAAACAATGGCTGTGCAAATGCAGTATCACACTTTGTGGGAAACCATATTCCAAGTCATATATTTCTGCAACTCACATATTAAGCGGCAAGGCTGCACATAAACACATGAATATTAAACAGATCCCAGTTAAAGATACTTTCACATTAGTTTTGTGGTACTGCCTTTGGCTCTGCACAGACAAGTCCTGTAAGAGCTGAAGGCCACTTCCCTAAGAGGTATGTGACAGGCACATATACACCAGGTAACAACAGATGAAAGGAATAACGACTCTGGACTTTCATAATGGCAATGATCTTTTAGTTTTGACGTTCTGCTAGCAACAGCAGAGTCTCCTCCGTATTAGGGTTCAGGCTAAATGGACAAATACACTCTGGTGCAAAAAGAGCTAGGGATAGATAACTAAAGTTAACTGTACACATTCTTTTGAAGAACAAAAGTGAAAAATTAAACACTAGAAAATAAACGGCCAAGTCTTCAAGGATCAACATGCACACAAATGCAGATCATGGTTAATCTCTCACCACGGCATTTCTTGTTTCTTGTAATGCAATGGTTACACCGTCATTACAGCTTCGCGCTCGCCTTTTAAACTTGGCCAACAAACAAGAACGCAACAGTGACCAAGAATCAAAACCGCAAAGCTAAAATGGACTTTGCATACAGTTTAATTCATTAATTGACCTTGCCACAGTCACCATAGAGTATTCTGCAACTCCATTTCAAAATTCCATCATAAAACAGGCTGCATTCAGAGCTATTACTTTGACTGCAGTATCTGCAAAAGAATCTCCTTCCCATGCTGAGGCTCAACGCGGGGCATTAAAGGATTTTAATGCTCAGGAAGGGGGGGATTCACAAGAGTGCAATCCCCTGGAAATACTCAATGTTAAAGGGTTAGTTCAGAACTAAAAACAGGACAAAGGCAGAGTAGCATACAGAGCAGTGACTCTTCAGATGCTCATGCATACCAACAGTTTGTATTTGGAGTGCCACCTAAAGGGAAAGAGAGATATACCTATCACCTTGTCACAAAACAAATTCAGCATAACTCCAGACACTGAGATAAATGCAGCAGGACTGAAGAGAGAGAAAGAGTAAAGCTGTCTGCCTGGCACCGAACCATTTCTGTGTTACCTGTCAGATTTACTCACAAGTCTCC